CATACTTCCCTCCATGAAGATGCAGTTCCATTGAGGACTACACATTGAGTGCGGTTGGTCAGCCAGGAATATTAGGAATTAAAATCCTGGATGGCAATGGGGGAAGAAGGGAAGGACTAACATTTAATTGATTATGTGTTTTATATACTGATAAGGCTGGGAGACTTTTAATGACTTAACCAGCATTTGATCACATCAGGTATCAGTATGCTACCAGTATTCAATGCCATATTTAGATATTTTAGCAATTAGATTACTTCTAGACAATTAAGAATCAGAAAGTAAAGAATGAATGCTAGTTCCCAGTATTATTCCTATCAAAAATTATATAGAAATTAAAAGTCAGTAGTGCAGAATTAATTTTAATAAAAAATAAACAAGGAGGGAGTTACCAGTAGCTTATATGCAGAGGATATGGACACATAAAGCTGTGTTGTGCAGACAATCTAACCCTTATTTTCTGCATGAGTAAACTATCATCCATAGTTTTGCATATCCATGAAGAAACAAAAAACAAATCCCAAACTGCAGATATAGAAACACATTTATGCTAAGACCTTGTCTCACTGCAGACGAAAGCCACTTGTATTTCTTGGCAAATGTCAAGAAAAGAAAAATAAGACATCTTCAATAAAGCAATGAAGCCACACACTATTCTCTTTCATAGGACAAAGGTGTAATAATTTTAATTCTTCTCTGTGATCAACATATTAAGTCATTTAAATACTGATTAAAATTCAGATCAATTCCTTTGGGCAATGAAGTCTCTCACCATATTTATAGGCAAAGACAGTTTGCCAGAGTTAATTTACCCTTGAACTCAGTAAATCCCAAAGCTTTTCAAGATGCAAATGGTTTTGAATTTCCATTCTAGAACTCTGTTACACTGCAATAAAAAGAGGGGGGATATTTACAGTATTGTATGTGATGTATCAACATCTCATTGTTGCCTAAATCTGATATCCAGTCTTCCACAAATCTACACTAGGAAGGAAAAACAAGAATGATAGGCTGGTATTTCTTTAGAATAGTTTGTTTGCATAACTGAACTACTTAATTGCAAAATCTATTGGAAGAGTCCAAGGTATCCTATTTTGATACTTTAGAAAAATGTGAAAACTTCCATGTTGAACATTACAACCTCCTTTCAGAGTCTCTTCATTCATACAGCTTCTGTCATCCTATCTTTTTTTTTTTTGCAATATAGTTTATTCATACCATGCACACAGACACATGTACGTATGTATGTATGTGTATGTGTATGTATGTGTGTGTGCGTATGTATATCTATCTATCTATCTATCTATCTATCTATCTATCTATCTATCTATCTATCTATCTATCTATCTATCTATCTATCTATCTATCTATCTNTCTATCTATCTATCTATCTATCTATCTATCTATCTATCTATCTATCTATCTATCTATCTATCTATCTATCTATCTATCTATCTATCTATCTCCAGGGAGTTTTTCCAGTTTAGAAATAATAAACATTTGGTGTTCCTACTTTTATTTTTAATACTTTAATACTTATTTTAATATAGAGATGGTTTTCCTTAAAAACGCTTTTAGACATCAATATATTTCATGAAGCTGAAGATTAAGGACATATTATCATGGAAAAATCTATCCACGTTTGTTAAGAACTGACACTGATTTGATGGAAATCAATCAATCAATCCATCAGTATTTCTTTAACACGAAAAGGCAACTGTTTTCAGAAACCAGTTGATTTCAGAAACCATCTGTTGATTTCAACTGACCATTATATTTTTGGGGGGCAAACAAGAATCATTTGAAAAACAAATTAAGTTTAAATTATTTAACATGAAAAAACTGAACTCAACCAAAAGCAATACATTGTATATTTTTCTGAAGGAAGAAAATGCAGTACCATTATCATAGATGAAAGCAATAAGGAATTTGTTTTCTTCAACTCTTACATATTTCTCACATTCAAAATAAAAACAGAAAGAACATTAACCTTTTTTAAATAACTATACTTACATTCTTAACATCACTCTCATGATGAAAAATGTATTCAAACAAAGCCTGTGAAAAAACAAATATAAAATATGTCATCAAATTGGTGGCAAATAAGATCTACTTACATTTAATTAGAAATAAGTATTTTATTAGCTCATTTAAAATTAAAAGCAGATTTAGTAAAAATATTGAATGCAATAAAGAATTCACATTTCAAAAAACTATGTAATGTTATTGCCTTGTTAGGCAAGAATTCTTAATCTTAAACCTGAAATTAATTAATTACAATTTATAGACCATGTGATTCCCAATGACTCAGGGCAGTTTACAATTAAAAGGAGAAAATACAAATACAAAAACCAAAATATAAGCACCCCAAAGGAAAATACAGTATATACTCCCCAAACCAAGCAGCCAATTAGTCGACAGAGGCTGACACATCATTCTGTTCCAAAGCCTCGGAGAAAGCTAGGGAAACTGTATATTTTTATAACTTGCTGTTACTGTATTTATCACAGAAGAAAGGGGGGTGGGTGTTCATTACTGAAAAACTGGATGCTCTGAAAATTATCTTGGAAGATCAACTTTTGCTTTGAACAACTGATCACACTGTAAAAACAGATAGTCCTCAATGTACAATGGTTCAAATTAACGACAGCCTAAGAAAGGGTGTTTTACGCCCTGTAAAGCACATCCAGTTGTTGCCAAAGGTCACATCACCATCTTGCAATCACACGATTGCCATCTGGTACTTGGCAACCTGTTTGCACTTACAATAACTTGCCAAGTGCCCCATAATTATATGATTACCATATACAATCTTCTCTGCCAGCTTCTCCAGAAAACCAATGGGGAAACAGGTAGGGAAGGGTGCAAGCTGCTGCCACCTACCAAGAGAATACACTCTCATCTTAGGAGGTTGGCTGACAAAAAGCTCCCTGCAGGAGGATTTCGGCTCCATGCTTGATTTCATGGAACTGAAATCCTTCATGCCTGCTTTCATACAGCTGAAATCCTTTTGCAGAAAGCTCTCTGCTGAAGCATTCCAGTTTGAGCTGAAATCCTTCAGCAGGGAGCTCTTTCACTGAGCCTCTGGAGATGAAAGAGAATTGAAATCAAAGTAGCATTTTCAGCCGTGAATGGAAAGGTGGTAAAGTAAAAAGTATAGGGTGTCTCAGGGGTAAAGGGGACGCCCTTAGAGGCCTGGTGCAGGTTGTATGCAAGTGTCCTTCCTCATTCAGGGGCTGAAAATACTGCTTGGGTTTTGGCAGGGAGGATTTTCATTCCTGAGTGGAGAGGCAGCAAGGTAAGGTGAGAAGTACAGGGTGTCTGAGGGGTATAGGGAAGGCCAAGAGGCCTGGTGCAGGCTTCATGCGTCTTTTTACTTTCTGGGCTGAGAAATTGTACTACACTGAATTTGGGCATCTCTCTTGAAAAAAAAAAAACCACAAAAGCTATTAACACCTGTTTTAATTAACAGGAAAGACTTAAAATGAACAAATCAAGCATGGTACATTAAACAAGCACATACCTTTGCCAACTTTGGTTTTTGAGCATAATTATTTAAATTCAGTTTAGATATATTTATGAAAGGACCATCAGGATTAGTGAGCATGGAGGCCTGTGGTGGGAAAAAGCATCAAACTAAATGATACACCACATTTGAATTATAACTGGCAATACAGTATACAATTCTGAGAAATCAATATAGTGCCTATAAAAAAATATTACATGAGAATAAATTGTAACACTTGCACAACTCCCAGCTTTTGCCACTGCTCCTAGAGTTGAGTCAACTAGACTTTCATCTGCTCCTTAGTAGCAACAGAGGCAATGGAGCTTAACAGAAAATTGGCTCTATAGTGCCCATCCAGAGTCATATAACTCGGACAGCTCCCAGTAAACTGTAATCAATAGGAATCTCCCTTTCTGAAAAAATATTTATTTGCTTTACATCTTTCTTCTATTGTTAGCATGTCTCAGCTACCCAATAACAAAGGTCATTGGGTGGAATGAAATGTTACTACATAATAACGAGGACAATAAAATGGGAAGAATAGAGAGCACAGGAAAATATGGAACATATCATTTGTTATCTGTAACAGGCAGAGCAAGTACCAAACAGTAAAAAAAGACTATAATTTGCTTTAAAATTCAATACAAGGCAACTGTGAAAACATAATATTTATTTATTAATCAAAGGTATGTGATATAAAGCATTGCTAAATCCAATGGGGTTTACAGGACTATAATACCACACTGTGTTTTTTCCTCACTATTATGCATAAATGGATATTTGTGTATTTTGTGGAACATTTGATCTTTAAGCAATAATAAGCAAAGTCTATTAGTATTATATAGAATACCCATATTTTCAAAAGTCTGATCATGTAAACAAACAAAGATGTTATTAGTTTTAATATAGCAGGGAGGGGGGGAGTATCGGGGCGGCACACCTAATAATCCTTCCTATGCTGTATACATATAGTTCCAATTTCCAAGAATACAAACGTAGGAGGATCCTTACTGTTCCAAGCCTGACATATCTCCCTGAAGCACTAGTCATTGGACGGGCAGTGTGAGCAGTTCTTGGAGTCTTTAAGGCTTGTTCAATGCTACCTGGTCTCCCAGCCTGCGTGCTGGGTCGTACAAAACCTGTCAGGGGTCGCCCTGTTTGTGTCACTGGCCTGCAATGATCCAAACATGGAAGAGTATCATGATAAAATGATAAACAGAAGCATTTATTGCTATTTGCAAAATCAAAAAGAGTACAGATTGCCATATGGAACTATTAATATATAGATATACATGCCTTAAATCAATTTCCTATGCACAAAATGATGTATTACATTTATCATTATTAAGTACACACCCATATAGGATTTACTCACTACCCCATTAAATGTAACTTACATAATTTTTTTTTTTTGAGGGAGAACATCTGTGTTATCTTTTACAATGTGAGACCTCTTTTTGTATTCCTATTTTTGTTTACACTTTTACTGCTTGTAATGTATTCCCAAACTTATTTGGCTATAGAACATGTTGGGCTTTGAATATATTGACAAAATGCATACCTACGAGTAGTTTCTTATTTCATTAAAGACTACAACAAAGTTGTGGATTTGTCATCCATAATGAGACAGAAAAATATCCCAGCACTTTCTGTTCCACTATAGAGAACAAAAATCATTTTAAGTTTGCATACTTTTAGAGCAAGAAAAACACATTGAAAAAAATAATAATAAATAGATGGAAGCTCTCCTTCAGCTAATTGTCCTTTTATAATACAAAAAAGCAACAATGATATTTTTTCACAGAACTTTATTAAATCTCTGATGGTATTTCATAGAATGTAATCTAGAAAACTGATTTCCAACTAGATATCACACTTGCAATTTGAGGTGGTGGTAAAATTAACAATGTATTTTATATGTCTATTTAACAAAGCACAGCTGAATAATTTCTTGACCCAAAGTTCAGTCCATGACTACAACTTGATAGACATTTCTGAATATATAGGAACAACCACAAAGGAGCTATAAAGAACTGCTATGATTCCTATAAAATTTATTTACAGAGATTCAATTTTTTTAAAATTTTTACTCCATTCTTTGGCAAGAAGACTTCTAAAGTAACTTAAAATATAAATAATTAGATAACTCTTGCCAGTTCTTAGGCTTACGATACACAAAATACAGGACAAAATGGGAAGGGCTGAACAGGGAGAAAGAAAGAAAAACACCAGCTTATCTTGACTAGTTCAAATGAAAAGAATTTAATAGTAGCTGCCACCTGGATGACAATTACAAAAAGCTCAAATCAGCTAGTCTCAAAATGTAAGAAATAAAATACATCTATTTCTCTCTGTAATAATTCTATGTGAAGATTATCACTTATGTACAAGAAAAAAATATTACCAAATCAGTTAACCTCACTAAGAAACTGAGTACAGTACCTGATAGCCTTGCTAGGCCCAGCACCATTACCAGTTCCAGGCATTTTAAGTGAAGTACCAGGTCCTATCAAACAAACAAACAAAGAAACAAAACAAACAAAATCATGTTTATAGGTACTTTCCTATATATCTTTCTTTTTCCATTTATCTTTTGGTTCCCTTTCCCAGGTATTTTTTAAAATAAAAATCCAAAGAGAGAAGATGCAAAGCACAGATGAATAGTGAAGTGCCACAAATAAAATCTAATGCTATTATTTGTTTGTTTAAAAATGCACTGCTTCATTTAACCACGACATCGTAATAGGACTCAGAATCAGTCAAAACTGTAAAGGGAAGATAATCCCCTTATGCAGAGAAAATGTTACCTGTGCAGAGCTGGAATTACATTCATAATTAAAACTGGAGATTTTAATTAGTGCACTGGGGATTTTTCTTGAAGATCAATTTCTTAGCTTGTTGCTGTATTGATCAAATACAAAGTGTACAGGAAGATTATTTACTCACTAAAGGCAATTGATATTTTATAGGCATATGAACATTTTAACACGAAATGCAAGCTTGAATTCTAAACTGCAATATTGACATAAAAATGTATTACTTCACTGTATTATGTATTATATCACTGAAGATAATAATTTTAAAGAAAAGAAAATGCAAGATAATAGTTTAATATTGATAGCAGTCACTCATTCCATAGAACAGCCTTTAGAGAAAAAAGAAATTAACCATTGAAAAGGAATGTTGGAAAATCCTAAAAGGGAATCATGAGTTGCTTCTTGCAATAGATTTTGGAGCAGATATAAATGCAGCTTACGTGCAACTTGTGCAATTGCATTTTCATCCAGCATCATTTCAGCTATGCCTTCCTGATCCACTTCAATTTCATCCACATAAACCATTTCCGTCAATGCTCGCATTTTTAAACACCATGCAGCCTAAAATAAAGATGGAGAGGAAACAAAGCCCAGTAAACTAAAATGTCTACAAAATGCTTTCAAATCAAATAGAACACAATAGGCCAGCAGTTGATTATTTGACACTTGTGAGAAAAGAAAAAGGGCTTTGGGATACTGAGATCTTGGCTGCATTATAGTCTTCAATGCAAATATTACATAGAAAACATTTCAGAACTACTAGAGAAATAGGTGAGGAGGACCTCAAGAAGAATGCAGAGAACGCATTCACAAAGGCTCAGTCACTCCCAATATTACATTTGAAGGGAGAGTATCATGTACTCTACTTCCTCCCTCACCTATAAGCAATAGAAAGTGTTCCATTTCAAATTAGGTAGAATCTGTAGGTGATACTATTGAATATTTAACTACATATTGATAAGGAAATAAAAGGATTTGTGTAGCTGAGCAGATAGTAAATGATGCTGGGTACAAGACACAGGTAACACCAGGTGTAATTTCTAGGTGCTGGTGGTTACCTTTAACGCCCATCAGAATGAGGATACCTGAGAGATCACCTTTTTTTTCAAGTCTCTACCCATCCAACCAAGCTGAGCAGAATGGACATGCAGCAGATCCCGTGAGCCAAAAAATGTTGGCTGGTGGGGATCAGAAGGTAAGCTTTTTCTGCAGTGGCCCTTGCTCTAGGGGACATTCTTCCTCCAGAGATCAGTATGGTCCCAACTCTGTTAGCTTTTTGCAAGGCCCTAAAAACCTAGGTATACCTCCACTTATGACCACAATTGAGCTCAAAATTTATGTTGCTAAATTTGTTAAGTGAGTTTTTCCCCATTTTATGACTTTCCTTGCCATATTTGCTAAGTGAATCACTGCAGGTGTTAAATTAGTAATATGGTTGTTAAATGGATGTGATTTCCCCATTGACTTTGCTTGTCAGAAGTTGAATAAATAAATTTATGCATTTTAGAACTCTATACAAATCAGTTTGACTTCATATTGCACACTGGATATCATGTGATCACTCTTAGAACGCTTTGTCTTAGCAGCCAGATTCCTGAAGCAATGAAGCCAATTAAGATCCCAAGTTGCCTCCCCTTCCCCCTTCTTTCCAGTCATCTTCAGAAATAACACATCAATCTAGGAATAATATGCTGATCTTGTGCATTAATTCATCCTGATGACAGGGTGGAGGTTTACCTGCTTTAAGCACAAATAACAAATGTAATAAAAGACTTAGTTGGAGAAGAGCATATATTACAGGCCTGCTTTATTGTACTGATTCATTCACTTCTTAAAATACATTTTTGTATCAAAATAAACTTAAGATGGGCCTATATGGTATTTATTTTGTAATACATTCTAACTATATGAAATCATTTAAATATGTCCAAAAGGTTGAGAGGATTGTAATAGATAGTCCCAATAAATATTAACATTAATGATAGCCAATAACCCTGTTTCCATATAATTCTTTTTACAATTTTTATCCAACCTTTATTTTTATAAATAACTCAAGGCAGAGAACATGTCTAATACTAAAATGGTGAAATGGGAATCATAGAGAATCCTAGTGAATCTTACTTCTTTTTTAAACAAAAGTGTACTTAATATAAATGAAAAATGAAGAGGCCTTCCTTTCTCTTGGCGAAGAGTCAGCTTGATGGTACATGCCTGTTATTTCTCAGTCATAAGCCATAATGTGATTTATTTATTATTATGTGCAAGCTTGGCCACTAGTTTTTTGTTTAACCAAATGTCCTAATTTAGTTTTATATATAAACTCAGTCAGTGAGTAAGTAACAATGACTGATTTAGAAATTATATAGATAGTTAGGGCTCATACATATTAATCCAGTTTTCCTAGAAAATGGTTTACTGAACAAAACACAATGTATTAACTCATAAATCATAGCGAACAGACCACAAAAGCTGTATTCACGTAATGAAAAATCGAATAAACCATGTGAGTTAAATTTTGGCAAAAGATAAACTCAGATGTAATGCAGATTCAAATTACATATATTTTGAAAATAGTGTCATATGTGGGTATTTGCATAATTTTTTTATTTATTGATTTATTTTGTCATGTTTATGCATTGTATATTGGAAGTGGTGACCCTTTGAGAGCTGTAGGCAATGAAATTTCATTTTAATGTATGCCGATTAGTGTACATTCAAAATGACACTTAAGTTATAAGTCATGTAAACAATTTTAAACATATTTATATTAAATCAATAAAATATAATAAATGAAGTGCTTAATCTCATATATTTTTCCAGAATTTATTAGAAAATGAATATATAAGTTATATAAACTACTATGTAACTTTTCTTAAAATACTAGTCTGTCTGGANTTGGGGGTCAAAAGAAAATAAGACCCTGTCTTATTTTCGGGTAAACACGGTAATAGATTTTACACACCATGAATCTGGCCTCGGATGGTATAGGAATAAGAACTACTTTGATACTGGTATGGACTTAAACCCATCTAACTTGGTTTGGGACAAAATGAGGGTTATATCGTGGACATGGTGCAAAAAAAGTTAATGGTGTATTGTCAATGAAATTCTCATGCATTAGAGAAGAGTTGTACAAAAGTCACCTAGCCACAGCACCAGCACACCCTGATGTCTAGAAGTTGAGTCATGGCAACTGCACTTCTTTTCTGTTGGTTTGGAATGTTTCACTGCATATCCAAATAGTTTGGGTGACTGAAGAAGCTACATGGATAAGCAATGAAAAATTTCAAACCAAAAAAGACAAGAAACCCATGACTCAACTTCTAAACATCAGGGTGTGTTGGTGCTGTGGCTAGTGTAAGTAAGGAAAGGTCTTCAATTTCCAAAAACTTCATCTGATCAATTGAAGGTGCACTTCTAATATAACAACAGTTTTTTTGCTTCTTCAATATTATCAAAGGCACCTGGAAATATTTTCTTATATTGCTGTTTCTTTTCCTTCCACTGCCTTATGAAATTGTCTACAGTTGAACAGTGTACATTTTGAAGCATTGCAAACTTTGTGAGTGGCTGATTGGAGGATAGTATTTATCTTGTCCTAAACAGGTGTATTTTTCCATTCCTATCAAGTATGCTTTTTTAGTTAAAATGATACTGGTATCTAGTTTTATTCTCTTTCATTTATTAATAAACAAATTGACACATAATGCTATTTTTGCTCTGTCCTGGGCAATGGATTTTCATTATTCCTCCCATTAATTCAAATCAGTAAACTTGCAGAAGTTTACTGTTGATGTATTATATAACTGTGACCCATTTCTTCAAGCTTTTGAATATTATCTTGTGCTAGTAGTCCTGTTTTATATGAATAAATAGAATCACACTTTTATTTAAGTAATGTTGGCAATCATAGCATAACATTGGCGAAATCTTAGAAAATAATATTACAATATTGTTTTGGAATTGGTTTTCACTTAGGATTTAATAATTGTGTATTGTATTTGAATATACACAACTTTCAAAGTAGAAATAAAACAATTCTTGTTACTGAATTTTTGATTGTCTTACATTTTTCCTTAAACGTTAATCTTCCAAGCTCAAAATAAATGCTTTAAAATCTTTCATTAACTTTCTTAGAGCTATCAGTAAAAATAGAGACTATTTTGAGATATGATTTTAAATAAATATTTTATTTTTATTGTATCACTCATATTTTAGTTCATAATTACATATAGATAAAAGTATATTTCACTAGAATATACCATTATTTGAAGCATCAGTGTCAAATATGTTATAGCTGTATTTCCAATAAAAACATTTGTTCTTTATAGTATATTGTATACTATACAATTATTGCTATTAGCATAATTCCTATTGTTTTCTACAGTAAGTACATGTCATATGGAATTAGTCGCTTTTGTATTCCAACAATAATACACATTAACAAATCTCTACCCTGTTTTTAAATGTGATACTACTATCATTTGCAGAAATTAGTAAATGTGATTGTGGGTCTGTATGATTTTCTCTAGAGTAAGAAAATAAGCCAACACCTAGGGAATGTCAAATTTATTTTAAGACAAACACACATTTATTGCTCATAAAGCTGTAAAGATAAATTTTATAAATCAACATATCTAGGGAAACCTCATGTCAGTGAAGGATTCAGTGGGATGTTCAGTGTTGAGATTTGAGCATTTTTCATAGGGTACATTATTTGTAAGAAAACTGAAGAAAGATTCTGTTCAGCAGTTGATATTTCAGTCTTATTGTAACTGTATAGCCAAGGCAGTCACCAATCCTACTGCAGGAACAGAAGCAAATTCCATGAACAGCAGGGGAGCTGTCCAGCACAAAGGATACCATCCAATGTAGAAGGAAAACTAGCCAAGGTTCTTTTCAAAACGGGAGCTGTCCAGCTTTGTTTTTAGATATTGGGTGGAGAAGTCTATGAGAAGAATTATAACAGTTTTAGCGTTTTGCTGGATTCATAGAATTCTGTGGCAAAGGGTTCTTCAGATTTGTTTAGCAAGTATCAGCAGAGCAGATATAGTTATCCAAAACTCTTAAATATGTAGAGAAGCTTAAAGAAAGCAGTTTATATTAAGTAAGAAAGGATGTTTAGAATGAAAATCAAAAACATATCTTATATCAGTAATATATCAATATTATACTGGAAAAAAACACAGAAAGCAGTAGGCCACTAGATTATTTTGCATTATTACAGTATCAGCTTACCTCCACATTGCCCTAATATTACTATATTACATTGCTGTACATTATTTTTGTGTACTTAGAAAATGTAACTTCTCAGATATTAGATTTGAAAAAAATCAAAGATTAATATCTTTAGCTATTATATTTGGACATAATACGAGTACAGATGTATGAATTCATAGTCATTTAAATCTGGAATGTGGCTGAAAGATGCTAGTTTCTATAATATCTAACTCCTGGAAATCTTTTTAATAGTATGTGAAAATGAATTAAAGAATACATGAACTTTTGAGATAACTAGCTTAAAATATAATTATGTAGCGTTTTTTTCCTATATATTTGTTTTCCTGAATTTTTTTCAGTAAAATTTTCACATCTGTTTTGTTCAACTGGCAGTAAAGGATATGGGTATAGCTATTTCTCTGTTTGCATGAGATAGTAGGAAGCTGCCTTATTGTCAGGCACAGTAATTGAAGATTGAGTTTTAGCTCAGATTTATTGCTCATAACTATATCCAAGAATCTGATCGACTAACAGTCAGTACTAAATTGGCACTAGATAAAGGTCAACAGAATTCAACGGGAGTTGGACTTGGATCTCTCTCTTGTGGCAATGCAAAGACTAAATTGATGATGAGTTTAACTCCACCCTTCAGCTCTGCCTTCTCTTCTTTTCTACACATGTACAAAATAAGGCCACTGATTTATTAGGTCACCATAGTCAGCGCTGTCTGGCATTAGCTGTTGAAAATTTCACTCCAACTTCCCTCCCAACCCTATTTCGAGATTCAACCAGATTTCTTTGTATCTACTCTACTATGAAATTGTTGCTAAAAACAAGGCATCCTATTTCCTATGAAAATGATGTGGTTTTTATTCTATATCAAATTTTTATTTTAAAATATTTGCAATACATTAAAATGAAAAAAAATGTTAAAATGTGTAGTATGTTTAGACTTACTATGTCAAATCAACAGGCTGAGGAGCTGAGGGCATAAGATAATAGTTTAAAGTTTATTCTTTACATGTAAGTAAATTAATGGAATAATTAAACTACAACAAATTTTTGCAGCTTATTTTGAAAATCAACCATATTTTTGCTGCTAAACAATTAATGAGTTGTAGACCAGTACCATTTAGAATAAATATACTGAGGTGGATACAATGTATTTTCTGGTTTGATATTTGTTAAATGACTGCAAGATGACTTACTGCATCTTCCTAAATTAGCAGCAATAGCACAGTTTTCCAGATGGGACATAACAAAGGGGGGGAAAAAGCTGATTTCATCTGATTAGACCAGCTTGGTTTCTAAAGCTGATTTCACTAGGAGTTCTCTACCTTTTTGTTCTGGAACACATCTCAAAATATGATAAATTTATAATGCATCCCAACTATATAATTGGTCATGAAGTCCTCTCTAGTCACATAAACACATCCCTTGCTCAAGAAACTGAGGTTAGCCAGAACTTTCAAACCACTTTCTTGCNTAATCTCATATATTTTTCCAGAATTTATTAGAAAATGAATATATAAGTTATATAAACTACTATGTAACTTTTCTTAAAATACTAGTCTGTCTGGAGGAACAAAGAAGTATCAAATGAAACTTTCTATTTGCATGAAGTACTCTGTAACCTATGGTGACCTCCACTCCAAATCTCTTACTGGCTTATATATTTAATTATTTAAAACATTTATATAGCTGTCCATCTTATAGCAAACTTGGGGAGGGGGGCTCCAAATTAAAGCAGCATAAAAGCCATACTAAAATTATAAAAACCAAACCCATTTTTTAAAAAAATGGTGCCAAAGCCAAGTTTTCAATATACAATCACCTCATGTTATCCCAGTGCTTGTTGGAAAAGCCAAATCTTCAGGACTTTATGGAAGGCTGGGAGGTAGAGACCTACCAACACTTCAGGTGGAAGTGTTGCACAGGACAGGGCAGCCATAGAAAAGGCTCACTTCCTAGCACCCACACAATGGCAATATTTAAGAAAAGGGTCTAGAAACATGGCTACACTATCTGACCTAGCAGGATGGATAGATATCCTAAGGGAAAGGTCATATACCCTTGGCCTTATGTGATATTTAATATTAACATGATATGTACCTTAAATCGCACCTGGAAAGAAATAGAAGCCAATACAGCTCACACATCAGAGATGTTACATGGGCAAATCTATGGACACCCATAGCTGCTGCCATGTTCTGAATAATTGAAGTTTCGGGGTACAATTCAAGGGAAGATTCATGCAAGAGAGCATTGCAGTAATCTAAAGAATTTTATCAGTTCTGATAAGGGAGTAAATTGCTGGAAAATATATTTGTTAAATAGTAAAGCATTTAACTGTCTTTTATAAGAATGAAGATTCGTTCTCCAATCTTGTGGGTTGGTTTCCGAACATTTCGTTACCACATAAAGTTAAAGTAAAATCAGCAGTGAAATATTAGGATGAGCTAAGAAACTTTAAAATCAAAATCTGAAAATTAAAATATGTACATTTGCAAAGAAAACCATAAAATTATGCAATTCAACATATGCTGTTCATCTATTTTTCTTTGAGTACTTCAGTATTATAAATCGGTACTGTTTCCTGGTCTTTAAATTGACATATGGAACATAAAGAACAATAATCAGATTAGGCAAGCGATCAGGATGATCAACCAAGATAGTAAGACAGAAATATGTTCCTTTTAGGTCATGCTATAGTTATAAACAAAGAAGCTACAATGAGTTTAATAAGGTTAATGAACGATTATTTCTGGCAGTAATAGCTGATTTAGACCCTTTCACAAAAATTAATTTTAAATAAAGTATGTTTACTTAAAAGGAAATCCTACTAAATTTCCTGAATCCTGCCCTCTAGTATCAGAAACACATTTAATTGAAGACACAATGCACACTTCATCATTATCATATTTAAGAATGGATTCATATAGTTGCTTCCCAGTGAGTTAGCATTCTTTCTGAATTACAGAAAGAAAAACAAAGAGGAAAACAACGCCTTAATTTTTTTAAAAACAACAACAGCAAAATGTTGACTAGGAAAGGGATAAAGGGGACAGTATTAATGTGAAATAAAGACATAATATCAAAAGTGCTTTTGATATTATTTTGGAATAAAATAAACAGATCAGGCCTGTGTTGATTGTCTGATATTAAAGGGGAAAAATTGAATTTACAAAATAAGATAAATGTAATAGGACTATGTCATTAAATCTATGAAAAGACAAAATGGATTAAGGGTATAAAGAAAGAGAATGAAGAAAGAAATCCAAAAAGCCTGCCAGACTATTAAATGCTGAAAAAATGGAAAGATTCTTAAATATCCACAGCAGAGAAATGATTGGTAAAGGTGAGAGAATTTAGCCGAGATGACAAAATAAATTAGAAAAAGATCAACAACTATATTTATCAGTGATTTGAAATCCCTTATAGACTTTTTGCTNGCTTGTTTGATTTATCTGTTTTTATGGGGCTGCTTCCAAGAGAGCAGGTTATGGCTTGCTTGTTTTGGATATAATGGGGAAGCTTTTGAGTAACTTCCTTTCTCTAAATAATATTTTTTTTAAAGGCTGTCCCTCTCTATCAGGAAAGTGGACTGTTTCAGGATAATCTTCAAGGCATATGGGCAGTCTTCAAGGAGTCTCATGTTGTTGTGGAATGGGAACCTTGACTCGGAAGACCATGCAACATTTTCAGTGTATCTTTTATTATTTGATCAGTTTCATTTAAGACTGTTCTGTAAACTTTGAAACTACATAGTCCATTCTAGGAAATAGAAAATTCTTGAGAACATTCTTCTTTTGCCAGGAGTCAGCAGTGACATGTCAGACTTTTAGCATTTGTTGTGATAATTAGGATGGGACTTCCAGATATCTGGCAGATTTGTAACCATATTGTTATGGTGTACATATATGGTTATTATGTTATTATGAACTGAACATATATAATTGGTACTCATACACAAATGCTATGTAGTACTTTAGAGTGAAAAAATGCATACACCAGCAATCAAATGTGCTTAGTGCCATGGTGAATGGGTGAAACTATTAGCTCTGAAAGTAAATAATAAAGTTATAAATCCACATTTGTTTCTATATACTGTGTCACCGGATCTTGAAGAATAATAAGTGGTAGCACCTCAAGTGACATATCTAGTAACTCAAGTGTGAATAAATCCCTGCATTCTTAAATGAGTTATCTGTTATCCTTGGATTATATGGATTATGAAAGATATTAGCAGGATGTAGTTTACAAGTAATGGATTTCTTTCTTCCATGCTTTTGCTCTATGCCAATTTACCGTTTGAAAAGTATTCTTAAAAGCAATTCCTTTTCTGTTCAACTAGAAAGTTGCTTTTAGAAAGATTCAGAGAGCTTGTTATACTGAAGTTCAGAATAATAATTCCAGATATGTTTAAGACACACAGTGAAATTCAGACTATAGACGTCCTGTTTCAAAAGTTATTAACTTTTGTTTATGCTTCTTTTTTTCCAAGCCTTGCTTTACATCCTGATCGAGTATTGGTAGCAACAGGTCAAGTTGGGAAAGAACCATATATCTGTGTTTGGGACACCTACACTGTACAAACTATATCAGTAATGAAAGATATTCATACACATGGTATAGCTTGCTTGGCATTTGATGTAGATGGTCAGGTATGTATCTTTATTAATTATTCTGTTTAATGTCTGTATAATTCGCTGCAAATTCTACTGTATAGACTAGCTTTGGATGATACACTGAGCTATTTAATTTTTAAAATAAATATATAAAAGCGTTCATAAACTTGAGAACATTAAGGCTTATTTACATAGTTAAAATGGTCTATCATTCTAATAATTAAATTGCATTATATAGCACATTACTGTGTAAANTATGTATGTATGTATGTATGTATGTATGTATGTATGTATGTATGCTAAATACAAAAAAAATGTACTAGAAAGACAAAAAGGCAAGTCTACATTAAAACAGTACATTTAGAAAACCAGGATGCCCCTTTTTTTAGCAATTTCCTAAAAAGGAGATGATGAAACGTAACTGCATTTTATGCATATAGAAAGGGTGATATAACACAATGAGAGTCATAGATTTAACATTGCTTATCAAAAGTGCAGAATATTATTGTGTACAGGACAGGAATAGACACTGAAAGTACATTAAGGCATGCTAAAGGCACAGCTTTTGTATATGTGAGGGCAGTTTTGATTTAGATAGCTTGCTGGCCTAAAAAGGAAGATGATTACTCTAAGGAGGACAGTTTGATCTCACTTTCTTTCCAAATTCATAGTACATTGCTTGGTATTAGGCACCACCCATCCATAACCAATCATCAAAAATATATCTTGTGCTTATGTTTATATTTCAAAACTTAATGCTCTGAAGATCTTATAAGATATGTTCCAATTCTGTAGTATGGATGTCACTTATATATCTAAAAGAATTATAGTGCAGAACCAGTTTCTGCAGCAAATAGCTTTTAGTATTTTAAGCAGAATACTTTTAAAGAGTTCTGAGGAACTGCCTCCCCCTTGATACAACGGCCTACCTCAATCTCACAGAGAATACCATCAGCTAGAGATTTACATTGGTGAGATCCAGAAGTACTTTCTCTATTGTTGCACCCACCTTGTGGAACATCCTTACTCCTGAAATTAGATTGGCCAGATCCTTTTTAATTTTTTTGAAAGGCCGTTAAGACCTGGTGTGCTGTTGGCCTTGGGCTCTTTTTAATATGGTTCTGCATTTCAGTTAAGCAAACATATGAGCTTCTTTAGGTGGAAACTTAATCATAAACATGTTGTTACTTTGGCTTTATCAATTTTAATGTTTGCTATAGATGCACAAGTAGTTGAAGCTTTTATCCTAGATAACATTTTAGTTTTAATTACAGCATGAGAGATAGTTACATATTTGCAGATTTTACACATCAAGCTCAGGTACAATGTGGTTGGTTTGGTTTTGACAGAGAGTAAGATAGTATAAAGCAAGTGCAATTTGTATGTTTTTCAAAACATTGTTTTTATAAGACTACTATAGTTATTAAAACTACGGTTAAATAAACCAGTTTAGCACCATTGCACAGAGGCCAAATAAGAGTTTTCTGTAATGTTCTGCTCCTATCTATGATCATCTGAATTTCTGCAACTTAGATCTGACAGTCCTAATAAAGGCCTCTGGACTAAACAAACTTCTTGTGATAGGTGGGGCAAGACTTTGCATCTGCCTTACATGCTATCCTTATTTATTAGATTTTCATCCCACCTTTATTACTTTACAAATAACTCAAGGTGGCAAACATACTAGTACTACTTCCTCCAATTTTTCCCACAGCAACCTTGTGAGGTGAGTTGGGATGAGAGTGCGTCTGACCCAAAGCCACCCAGTTGGCTTTCATGCCTAACACAGAATTAGAACTCACAGGCTCCTGGTTTCTAGGCCAAGAAACTATGGTACGTTTGTAACTTCAGACATGCAAGGTTCTGTTAACTTAGCCTCATAATAAAGTAAATTTAGCTCATCTAGTTGTATCCTGACTGGTTTACCTGGGATGGCTGACATCAGTTTTGCAACTTTAAAGGTAAAAACTTCCTGATGACACTTTTAAGAGTCTGATCAATTGGGGGGAGGGGGGTTTCCTAAGTTTTCTTTGTCTGACTATTAATTGATTGCAGGCTCCCCCCCCCCTTATCAGATAGGCTGCATTTATATCCCTTGTCCCCCAAAGTCATCCACACATTCATTCGGTTAACCATCGGTTAATGATGGTATTTGGGACCAACATTTCTGTCACTAAGTGAGTCATACAGCACATCACGACCATGCTGCTTAGTGACAGCACATCTGGCATGTTAAACCCTGCATCATTGTTAAGTGAGGACATCACGTGATCATCATCTGCAACCTCCTGCTGCTGTGATTCCTTGTAGGAAGCCAGAAAAGAAGGTGCCAATGGCAACCATGTGACCTCAGGATGTTGCAATAGCTGAAATTTTAAGCATTGGCATCAAGTACCAGGGATTCAGTGCCATCACATGTTTGAACGGTGGCTGAATGAGTGGTTGTTAAAGGAGAACCACCTGGATTTGACATCATGTCAGCTATTCATTGGTTTGTAACCTATCTCAAAATTATCTAATAATAAGCTATAAATGTATATTTTAATTAAATAAACTAGAATTTTGACATCTTGGGAGGTAGGGATTCCAGTTATGAGCACTGCTGGATTTAAAAAAAAAACACCTGGATTATTATCTTATTCCAGCTAATTCGCCGTACAGAATACGAAATGCAGGAAAGACATTTTACAAAACGTTCGCGCCGAAAAGCAAAAAGATCTGCATATATATATATAAAAAGAGCAGTTACTAAATCAAAGCATCCACCCAAGGCCCAGTTTTACATTTTTCCTGAACTCGGAAACATCACATCCAGGCGTCCAGCTTCTGTCCTGTCTCTCTTCATTACCTGATCGCCAGGCTCCTTTTCCAGCACCTGGGAACACAGATCCGAACAGAGTTGGAATTTCCTCCGCCTGAAATAACTCAAGGCGTGGAGCAACGGGTCCATTTCCATCCCCATAAACTACGCAGGCGACTAATAACGCCACGCTAACACACACACCCCCACCTCCTACTTAGGCCCCGCGTCTCAGCTTCGTTTTGCCCAGCAACGCTAACAGGGGTCCTTGGCGAAGCAAAGGCGACTAAGCAACTGCCTGAATGGCCAGAGATTGTGTTTCTCTCCTGTCTCGGAGAAGGGAACGGGCCGGAAGGGAGAGTCAAACATTTTAGCGCCAGCAATCACTGCTGAAACCTTTCGGGGTTGCGGACTACGACTGATTTCTCTGCCTTCCTCTCGTTATGTGGCATGAAAAATGCTAAAGTAGCAGATTTTAATAGAGCGCAGAACCAAGAAATTTCATGTGTTGATGGTTTTTTGAACTTCATAATCACTGCAGAGGAAATAACTTGGAGAAATAGAGTTAATATAACTTTATTTCTCAATAGCCGTTAATAATCATCTTTGATTAGTCATAGAAGATAAACGCATTTCATTATTTTTAACCAAATCAAACTTGAGAAAATAATATATTGCTTGGTGTATGATACGAGAATGTACTATGTGGTTAATTTGTGGTTCAGCGTGTTATGCAAAATCCTGAACATTGAGTTAACTCTGGAAAATCTGGGGACAATTTTTCTCTCCTTAAGGCTCAGGATTGTTACTGTTATGGATAAAATGGGGGTGGAGGTGGGAGAGAACACCAAGCTGGCAGGAATAGGCAACGCTCCAGAAGATAGGCTTAAGATACAGAAGGATCTTGACAGACTTGAACATCGGGCTCTATCTAACAAAAAATGAAATGGTGAAAAAAGTAAGGTTCTACATTTAGACAAGAAAAAGCAAATGCACAGGTATAGTATAGGTGGTAACTGGCTCGCTGGTAGTAACTGTGAGAGGGATCTTGGAGTTCTAGTAGACAATCACTTAAACATGAGCCAGCAGTGTGCAGCAGCTGCCAAAAAAGCCAACACAGTTGCATTAAAGGAGAGATAGAATCAAGATCACGTGAAGTGTTAATACTACTTTAAAATGCACTTGGAATACTGCATCCAATTTTGGTATCATGATGTAAAACAAAATGTTGAGACTAGAAAGTGCAGAGAAGAGCAACAAAGATGACATGGGGATTGGAGGCTAAAACATAAACAGTTGCCGGAATTGGGTATGTCTAGTTTAATGAAAAGAAGGACTAAGAGTGACATGATAGCAGTGTTCCAATATCTCAGGGGCCGCCACAAAGAAGAGGGAGTCAAGCTANAGATCTCAAACTTTGGTTGCTGGTTTAATTATTGACCCACTGTGGCACCCAGCTTAGTTTTTGTATAAGAGTGAAATTCTGAATTTGGCAATCAATTTCCTAATTCTATAGAAAAAAATAAGCTCCTAAAGTTGTCCTGAGGTTTTGGAAGAAAGATAAATCATAACAGTTAAAGGTAGTCTTCAGCTTATTGACTGTTTGAAATTTTGACAGACCCCTAAAAGATGCTTACAACCCGCTTTCAAAGTTACAATGGCCTCCCCCTTGCAGTCATATGGCCGCATTTTGGGCACCCAGACACTGATCCACATTTACAACTGTTTGCAATGTCCTGTGGTCACATGACAGTGATTTACATTGCTTTTGCTGAAAACCTTTGTTTAGTTCTATTTTTTGGCAAAAATGCTCCATAATGCTCCATATTATTATAAAATTATGCTCCATAATGAACAATGGGGTCATTTAACAACTGTGATGTTCACTTGATGACTTTGAATTCACTTAATGACTATGGTGATTTACTTAATCACTGAAAAAAAAGGTTTTAAATCAAGGGCTACCTATAGTCTCTAGTCAATGCTTAATGGAAATAATAAACATATATAAAATATAAATATATATGTATATATATATCTGCAAAATGTGTACTCATTCATATTTATGTAGTACCTTGTTTCACAGAAATCAAACTCTCATTTCCCTCTCCCAAAAGTCACATACAAATATTTTTATTTGTTTGTATACGACACATGGTTATTTATGGTCCATAACAGATTTAAGAAAATAACATTTGATTTTAGATATATTTTCCTGTTTGGCCATCTGGATTTAATTTAGGCAAACATTATGATTCTCCACTGATATAATTTACACGCTAGTTTCAAAGTGTTATTTTTAAAAGGCAATGTTTATTTTAAATAAATTGCTGAAACATACATAGTTTTATCCATATGGAAACACTATGGAAAATGTTCATTCATCTACCATTTCTCTTACTCCTATATGGCACTAGATATAAAGACAAATTCCAGTTACTGGTTAATATTAGATATATTTAATATTAGAAAATATGCAAAAAAACCCATGTCTATTGATTTTACTCTGAAATTCTATGAATTTTATCTAATTTCTCTAAATGAAAAATTGAAGAACAAGGTGGGTCACTTAAAATGCTAAATCCCAAATCTATAACTCCATTACTTCTGTCTTTAGTCAGAATGATACTGTTTAAATGTAAGATGTAGACATGCTAAAAAGCACTGAAACTCTTTCCAAACTTTTCCATTGTGTTTAAATTCTGAATTTATTTAGTTGTCTATTTTTATCTGTCTTACAGACTGATCACCCACTTATAGTTTTCTTCTTCACACTTTTTCCTTTCTTTAGATTTCCCAATAGAGCGTCTTTTTATAATGCATTTTGCCTTTATTGTCCTCTTCTCCTGTCCTGTGTAAACTTTGTTTCATTGCTTTTTAACCAGGACCAATAATGTCAAAATGGTGGGCATGATAGCAAACAAGGGTCTGCCCTGTTTTAAGAGGCATCATGTGGTGGTGGCCTAGAAATATTCTTAATAACCAATTAAAAAGAGGTGAGGCTTTGAACGCTCAGCTGCACCCACCATTTTGTTGATCACTCCAATTTACTTTGAACTGTGTTTAAAGTAAATATTTTAAATTGAATTATGCATTAGCCACTGGTCTGATTCAAATACACCCTAACTGGTTTTAGACTGAGCTCCTCTGATATGATTGTAAACCCAGAAGAGAAGTTGATTTTGAAAGCATATCTATCACTGATCTCTAGTAGCAACCATTCAAGGTCTTCCACCTTTTTTCAATTCAACACAAATTGAATGATACAAACATGAATACAATTGGAGAAGGAAGTCTGTCAAATTTTAAACCCGTAGAAACAATGGCTTATGATCTAGGTATCTTTACATTTTGCTACTTAATACCGGTGTAAAAAGTTAACATTTTTATTTTTTGGTGAAATTATACAAATGTTTATAAAGATTATCATTGCCTGTAGGATTCAGTTTGGCAAAGTTAATTATTAATAGGCTGAAGGGAGAAATGTGCAAGAATCTAAAACTTACTTAACTTCTGTGGGTTGATTACAACCTGGGAGTCACTCCAAAAGGCAAGATGGTTATCAAATTCCCACCCTTTTTAAAATGTATGTCATGCCTTTTTAATCCCCCCCCCCGATTTTGTTTCTAGTAAAGGGCATTTGTTTCTATTTTCCTTATTTTGTCAGCAGCATTTATGAAAATGACATATGAAAATGCCCTTTCTGAATGCATATCTAAAAGTTCAGAAAGATACTAGTAGCATTATTCCCATAGAAATATAAAGTCTTCACCTTTGCGAGTAGAATGTAGATGATTCACTTCTTCGTCCTCTAATAAGTTGTTTGTTTATTTTGGAGAGGGTAATTTGAATCTTAGTGGCATACATCATAAACATGTAATTAAGGTTAATTATATCTCCAAATATTTTCATGTCATAATTAAATTTATTGGGAAGAATAATTAATAAAAAGTATGTAAGAGTCTCCCAGGACATGCTAAATTGATAGCAAAGGCATAGAATATTTAATAGGATATTTAGTAAAGATGAATGTACAGCAGAGGAGCAAAAGTTGAAGATTCAGCATATTCCAAGTTGACATACTATATTGCAACCCTTTATTCTCCCAAAAGAATCTAACAAAACTCTTTAAATAAAGGGCACTGGATTCTAGAAAAATCCTACTTCAGCATTCCTCTCCTTGAACTTTGTAGTAGCAAATTTGAGATTTACACCATTCAAACTGGAAGGCTCAATTACAAATTGCAGAATTTTCTGCATCTTTCTCAACCTGGAGTATCTCTTATATGTCATAGAGTTTTAAAGAAAAATATGTAAATTTTGAAGATTAATTTTCTTCCTAGAAAATTCTCTGTGTGTGAAAATTTTATATGGTTCAAATCAGATTGGATTTCAGAAGAATGATTTGGGTACCTGCTGAATCTTCTGATTTGGGTACCTTCTGAATCTATTTAAATCAACTAGATTTGGTTCAATATTTAGTGAAATCCAAAGCCTGCCTCTAACTGAAAATTTGTAAAACGATGTTTTCAAAAGCTGCAGAAGAGGGAACTTGATTTATCACTAACAGTTATTAGTAGGTTTGCCTTATAAGTTATAACTGCATCGAACATTAACATTGACCTCCCCATTAGAAAGGCAAAGGATTCTGAAAGGGGCAGAAGCAATATAGCATTACTGAAGCTTCTCCATGTAGTTCTTTGGATTTTACCCTATCCAGTGGTAGGTTCTGGACCCAGGCTCAGCCAGTACGCTGCACACGGGGGCCTGGCATCCTAGAAGGGCACGCACACTGTGTGCGTAAGCGCACACCACCGCCCTGCGACACCCAGCTGCCCGGCAGAGGTTGCACAGGCATCACACGCTGTGCGCATGTGCTCAATGGGCCGGTCATGGTATTAAACGCCCATAGAACATGAGTGGGTGGGTGGGCCAAATGAGNGCTGTCATCAGCTTATCCTGGCTTCGGGTGGTGACTTGGGCCGCCTTTTGGTGGGAGGAAGAAAGGATGGGGTGAACCACATCTTCCTTCTTACTGTTGTACTTCGGTTTTCTTGACAAGGAGAGCACTGGGGGCTGCTACTTTCGACTTTGCTGGTTCAATAAAGCCCCGCTTCAAATTGATGTTGATGTACTTCCTCAATTCAACCATCTCTTTGGGAGTCACGGAGTACATTTTCGGCTTTGGTAGGGTATCCCCCTCGCATTTCCCCACTATAGAAATAGCA